GAGCAGCAGTGCTTTCCATTTCTCTCTCTGTGGCAGCCCGAAGGAACATTTAGCTCTTAAGAAAGCATCTTTTTCCTTATAGAAAGCATGGACCAACAGCATAAGATATAGGTTATTGAATTATTAACCTCAGTGAAAATTAACTCCCAATACTTTAAGGCTAGACACCCTCTTAACTATCACCTTTTTCCTGACTAGCTGCCCTTTTTGGAAATATACCCACCAGGGAAGAAGGAAAACATAATCATTAATCTGCTAAGGAATCAATCAAAAAATCTTTAACCCAAAACAGTAGTCATGGTTAGAGATGGTTAGTAAGAGCTTGGTATTCTATGAGAAGAATCAGCCCTCCGATTTCTCCTCTCATGTCTCCAATAGATGCATATTATGATAAGCATTTGAGGAAAAGCAATGCTTTTATAATGTATGGTGGCATGATTGATCAACAAGGAGGAATTGAGCCTTGGAAAAATTAAAAGATGAAGGAAAAAGTATGGCTTCTTTACTTCCAATTAGTTTTAAGATTAAAAAGGGAAATTATTTTTAAGGGAAAAGGATAAGATACTATAAGAAACATAATTTGAAAGGTTGGTTATACAGTGAAAAGTTCACCTATTAGGATAAATGTATAAGCAATTATTCCAATATTAAACTGAACAAGTTAAAATAAGTATGATAAGTTGGATATATCTTTCTGTCAAAGAGACACTTTGTGGCTGAAGGATATAAAATTTGCAGCTAGTCAAGCACTGAGAGAACTTTGGTCCAATATGTTTTTTGTTGGTGTGTTGCACCAAAAGATTTGAGAAAATGGATAAGAATTATAATGGAAAGTGCTGGAAATATATTGTGTAAACCATTTTGAGAGCTTTGTCAAGTGGTATAAATGCTTTAAATAAACATATAAATGCTTAGAGTTGAAAAAATAAGTGAATGGGACTTTTTACCGTATGTGGTGGATTTGTTATAAAGTTTTAAAAAATTAAGGAAATGCATACAGAAATACAGAAAATTTTGAAAATTAAGTTTCTTATGAATGCAAAGAATATGCTACTGAGTATTGTACCAGAAACTCTGTCAAGGAATATGGTAGAGTTATTTAATTATATGATAGCAGCAGCTAGAGATGTGATAGCATCAAAATGGAAATCAGAAGACTGCCCAGCTAAAGCAGACTGGAAAAATAAACTAGCTGAATATGCAGTTACGGAAAAACTAACTAGTTACCTAAATAGACCACCAGCTGAAGAATTTAATAATAAATGCAAACCTTATTATATACAATTTACTTGATGGAACTTGTAAAAATGCCATTAGTGAGTTACAATTGTAATACAATACTTCGTTGTTACTTTCCATTCCTTTAAATTTTAAATAAGTCAGCATTAAGAAATACAAATTAGAATAATTGCTCTATGAGTTTCAATTAAGTACTAATTTATTTAACTGACTGTAGAAGAACTCATTACTAAACTTTGTGAAATGTTTTGATCTTGATATAATGTGTAAGATTTGTGTAAGATCCCTTGGTATTCTTTTTCTGTATTCTACCTTTTAATGAAAATATTTTTTTAAAAGAAACTATGTTCACCAGACTTTTGAGAATGAGACTTTGTGGTGATAGGTGTACTGATATGTCTTGCTTTGAAAGGAAGTAATATTGTTTAAATCTTCCAGGATAAGCTGATAGTGCTTTTACATCTATATAAAGAAATTAAGTCTTGATATATAGCCCTGTGTACCAGTCACTGGGAATAGGCAAGATATAGATAGACAGACAGACAGACAGACAGACGCTTTACAAGTTGATGTTTTCTTTTATGGTTTGTACTGTTAATTTACTACTCTGTGTGCTTGGTGCTATTTGATGAAACGTTCACTTCTGATCCTGAGCCCATCCATACACATGGAGCAGCTTGTTACTGCATATTCTGCTTAATTGTTGAGGGCAATCTATGTGACCAGGTTTTTCAGTACTGTGCTAAGCCTAGCCTTCCTGTGCTCGGCAGCATCCCAGCTCCAGTACTTCCCAAGATTGCAGCTCTTGTACTTCCTAGCCATCATGATCATTTGCCCTGTTTAAGTGAAATACGCTGCTATGTAGTTAAAAATCTTCATCATTTTCACTCACAATATGACGTAGTAAATGATAATGATAAACAATCTAAATGGCATTACAAGCTTTCCTAATCAGTCCTCAAATAAGGGATCAGGGAATACCTGCAGTCAGAACACGCCAACGTGCTTTGTATGCCTTTGCTTGTGGTTCACTCATTATGATAGCAACAGTGGACTCGCACCTGGAAAATGCAGGCACCATGATTGCTACCTGGAAAACATGTTCATCTGTGTGCAAACATTCTGTACTAAAGAAGATGATGATGATATTATTATATAGTACAGCTTCTGGACAAACTGGAGCAATTATGGGTGTATCTAGAATAACATTTTAATATATTAGCAAAATTAGGATTATAGTTTTGAAAAGTTACCTTGTTATTCAAGAGCTGATATTTGTTTATTTTTATTGATAATTTTCACTGAAGATCTTTTTATACTGTATCACTTTGCTTTTGGCCTTGAGGCCTAAAGTTTTCAGCTTTGCCAGTCACCACCAGCAACAACACAAGCTTTCTTGAAAATTATAATATTTTCTGTAAGTGGGTAATAGCAATAGTAATTTATTCAGAAGCACTGCAGAAGATGGTGTGCATCTTAAAGATTACTTATTTGTACAGTAATTTGTCCTGAATATTAATTGCAGTATTTGTACTGATTAGACCAAGAATAGGTGCTATTTGTACTGATTAGATCCAAGAATAGGATCAGTTTTCCAGTTTCTCATTGATCAACCTTTCTTCTGGGAACGATGGAGGTTTTAAAAAAATGGAAGTGCGGTAATTCCATAAGCCATAGATTAAAAATGCCTTGTCATATAACATCTATATAAATACTGGCTTTTTTGTGAAGTCTCTTGTATGATGTAGATAGCTAGAAAACTGAAGCCAGACAGATCCAGAAGTGGTGCACATGTATATGGGGAAAACAGCATGCTCAGCCAGAACATATTTTGCTGTAGCAGTTCTTAGAGTTGAAAAAAACAAACTGCTGCTTCAGCAAATCAGCAGAATATATCTCTGGCAGTGATTAGTGTTGTAGTAGAAAGATAATGCGAATCTCTGGCTGTACACACAGTTCTTTGCCACTGTGCCTGTCCTTCCATAGAATGCCATGTTACAATAATTTTATCTCACATCTTCCACTCCAACTCCTCATTGCAGCCTTCAGTAATACAAGAAAAACAGTAAACAAAAGGGTTTTGTGGAGCACAAAAAATTCAACACCAGCAAATTCATAATAGTACAACAGAAATGACAATCAACTGGCCTCAAACATGCATTCAAGGAAGAGGATAGCTAGATCTTCAGGGCAGCGAATTCTAACATCTGTACACTGCTGAGAAGAAGGTTTCATCTCAAGTCCCTGTCTTCCACATTTATCTAGTCAAAATGCCATGCAGCAAGGCTTGTTCTGATGAGTCAGGTTACTGGAGGAAAATCTGGTCTTTCAGCTATCAAGGTTCCAAACTATTTAGGACTGTAAATAATTACTACTAGATAATTGGTCCTGGAAACAGATTGTGACCCAGAGCGAGTGATACGACATTAGTACAATTAATATGGCCAAATTGCAGGACTTCTTGTTGCTATATTTTGGACAATTCAAATCTTCCAGGCCTTGTTTTGTGAGATTACAATGCATTCTGGAAGTTACCAGGCCTTGTATAACTGTAGCTTGTTCAATTGGAGAAGTAAATAATGCTGGGAAAAAACACTCCTGACCAGCCACCCCTTAAGCATTACTAACCTGTATATCTGCTTCTTTAGATGAAGTGCCATTGCATTAAGAACCAGTTCTTTCTGGTTCAGCTGTCCCTCATACCATTGTTACTTCAATCCTGTCTGGAGAGCCGATGTGGTATAGTGGCTAAGAATGTGGGACTGGAACTCAGGAGATCTAGGTTCTGGTCCCCACTCAGTCATGGAATTAACATGGACTTTGGGCCATCTCACTCCAACCTATCTCAGAGGGCTTATTGGATTTATATCCCACTTTTTCCTTACAGTGACTCTGGTGTTGGTGTTGGTGTTAGGATAAGATTGGGAGGAGGAGAATTGTGTAAGCTGCCTTGCGTTCCTTGGAAGGAGGAAAGGTAGAATATAAATGTAATAAATAAAGAGCTCACTTTAATAGTTAGCCTACATTTATTGTTTGATTTGGCCCTTCCAGAGCTTTTCTAGACTAGAATCAGACAAAAATGAGCTGTTCTGCAATAGTACAGTGCTTCTGGTAGGCTCAATTTATACGCTCCTTGTAAGAGCTCCCACAATGTGCCTATACCATAGTTGCACATTGAATCAGAATAGTCACAACAGTGGATTACTTTCAAAGTTTACAACCTACAGTATGGAAAACAAAATGTGCAATACTGAAGCCCTTAGAGAGCTATCATCTAAAGATTTGTTGCTATAAGCTACCCTACCCAAACTTTAAACATCTTTCCAAGTCAAATAGAATGTTAATTCATGGCTGAAAAGCCATTTTCATGTTTTATGCTTGTGGATAGGGATGCACTGTTGCCCATGGATGCATATAACTTTAGGGATTCACAGGCTTTTCTGTGGTTTTCAAATCATGATTGTTAGGAAGTTGAGGCCTGCCCATATCCAGTGGTATAATGTTCAGTTGGAGTCAGTAGAGTGGCTGCACACACAGGTTAATTTCTTTCTATCATACTCAAGGCAAGCTTAGCAACATAGGTTCTTCATAGTCCATCTCTGATTAAATGTGTTGTACTATGTCCATCCATCCTAAAAGTGATGTGGTTCTCTTCACAGGGTAAAAGGGAGTATTTCTAGCAGGTATGACTAACCTAACAAAATAGTTTAAACAAATAAGTCATTTTATTGTAATAGACTTTTTCACATTTTGTTTTACAGAAAATGCTTGAAGAGACGATGGTTAATTCGCACTAAGGCCTAGAACTGCCTATTGAACCAAAGTCCTGACCAGGCAACATACGAATGGCCCAAGGAAGCCAACAAATTGATGATCAGGTTTTACATGACCTGCGCCAAAAATTTCCAGAGGTACCTGAAGTTGTTGTGTCCAGATGCATGTTACAGGTCAGTGTTCTGCTGTTGTTGATTTTCTAGGCACTTTAATCTAGTAGAGACATGTAAAGTTGCTTTTAATGTTTTTCCCATTAACTTATTATGTGTAAATTTCCTGTAATAGATATTTTCCTTAATCCCACTTTTTATATTACCTTTCGCTTTCCTTTCTATTCATTTTTAGCCATTTTTATTTCACCCTGGTTGCACAACTCCCTGAACCTTAGTTTAACTTACTTTGGCCACAGATTTAAGAAACATATATAATCTGTTTCATAAGGTCCTCACAGAAAGAATTTACCACTTCTACCATTTGATTGTACTGTAATTGTGGTGTGTCCCTATACACAAGCATCCAGAATCTGACACACCTTTTTATATGGCTCTCCAATGGGAACGCTAGAGCTGTTCTGATAACTTTTAAAATAAATAGCTAAGAGTTGGGCTTGGAAATATATAGGCAGTCAATGCATGCAGGCCAGAATTGGTGTTATATGATCTGACCATGGGGTCGCAATGGGTTGGACCTGACTTCACGACTAACAACAACGACAATGATCTGACCATCTGGTCCCTGCTAGTAGTTAGGCTGCTGCATTTTGTACAAGCTGCAGTTTCTGAACTGTCTTCAGGAGCAGTTGCACATGGACCACATTGGAGTAATCTAGTTTAGAGATTATCAGAATATAGATTACTGATAGCAGGCCATCTCTGTCCAGATAAGGGCCTCACCAGCCAAAGCTGGTAGAAGAAACTCCAAGCCACTGATGCTATCTGGGCTTCAAGTGTCAAAGATGGCTGAAAGAGCACTCCCAACTGTTATCCTTAAGGGGAGTGTGACCCTATCTACAACAGGTTGAATTCCCTCCATCTGGTCAGAAGAACCACCCACTCACAGCATCTCAGTTTTGTCTGGATTGAGATTCAGTTTGTTAACCCTCATCCAATCCATTGTCATAGCCAGGCAGTTCTTAAGTACTTCCACAGTTGCTCCAGGAGAAAAAAAGCCTCATGTCATCTGCATTCTGAGGGGAGTACACTCCAAAACTCCAAATGGCCCAACTCAATTGATTAATGTAGATGTTGAATAGTATGGGGGACAAGGAACCTCATACTGGAGAGTCTTGTCCCAGTCATCTGTTCCCTCCCTGCTGGCTTTTATTAATGGGGGGAGCGGGGAGCAAGGATCCAGTATGGATGTGATTTTGCTTGTTCAAGAACCTTGTCAACATCCCTGAGCTGTACTAACTAGAATTCCTCCAGTAAAACTTGGGTATCTCATGTGATTTCACTGCTATAACACTGGATCCCAAGTCCTGGTGGATGTGAAAGATAAAGATGGTCTGCCCCCAGTGGCTAATGGATCTGGATGATTGCCAGATGGCTCTGGCAGTTTTTCTGGCTGACTTTGCTGGTGCTTCTATCAAAGCCTTGGTCTCTCTGTGGAATACAGAAATGACCCGGACAGTGGACACGATCACTCCTAAGCACCCTCTTTGTTGTAAAGCTCATACAGCTCCATGGTATACGCCAGAGTTGAAAGTGATGAAATGATGTAGGAGACAACTGGAGTACCGATGGAGAACTCCCAGTGAATGCAACCAAAACCTAGCATGTACCTACAATGGGGTATATTTTGAGGCAGTAAAGGCTGCAAAGAAACAATACCTCACTGCCTCTATTCAATCCTCTCTCTTCCAGCCCCAGACACTCCTTGAAAGCATATCTGACCTGCTGTAGTCCAGTTTTACAGGATGAGTTTCAGTTGGTACAGCTCAAGTATGTGGACAAGGTGCTTGAGGAGGTTTGTGCAACCATCTCTGCACTAGTTGCTCACCCTTCCTGGCTTATAAAAGCCAGCAAGGAAAAAATAACTGGCTGGGCCAGGGAAGTCATCAGTGCTTCTTTGGAAGAGGAAGTGCTCCCATCCTGCCTTATGTGACTGCTTCTCAAGAAACACTCTCTTGACCTGGAAAAATTGAAAAAGTACAGGCTGGTAGCAAACATTGCTTTCCTGGGCAAGGTTCTAGAAAGGGTAGTTGCCAACTCCAGACCCTCTTTGATGAAACTGCTTATCTGCATCCATTTCAGTTGGAGTTCAGACCTGGTTTTGGCACAGAAACAGCCTTGGTTGCCCTGTATTATCACCTATGCCAGGAGCGAGACCGGGAGAATGTGACCTTGTTGATATTTCTGATCTCTCTATGGCTTTTAATACTGTTAACCATGGTATCCTTCTGGAGAACTGGCTGGGATGGGAGTGGGCAGCACTGCATTGCAGTGGCTCCACTCCTTGGAAGGCCATCTCCAAGGGTGCTTGGGGAATTCTGTTCAGCCCCATGGGTTCTCCAGCATGGAGTTCCTCAGGGGTCTGTTCTGTCCCCTATGCTATTTCACAGCTACATGAAACCAGTTGGTGGAGTCATCTGGAGCACATTGCCATCAGTATGCTGATGACATGCAGCTCTATTTCTCCTTTTCATAGTTGGCAGGTGAGGTTGCAGATGTGCCCAACCAGTGTCTAGCTGTGATAATGGACTGGATGAGGGCTAACAAACTGAAATTCAGTCCAGTCAAGACTGATGATGGGTGATTCCTTTGCCTGGATGGGAGGTATTCAGCCTGTTCTAGATGGGGTTGCACTGCCCCTGGAAGAGCTTGGAGGTGCTCCTTGATCCATCTTTATCACTTCAGGCTCAGGTGGCATTGGTGGCTCTGCGTGCTTTCCACCAAGCTTGGCTGGTGGCCCTGCTGCACCCCTTCCTGGGCAGGAATAGCCTGCCTACACTAATCTGTGCTCTTGTAATCTCAAGATTAAATTACTGCAACACACTCAGAAATGGTTCTAAAGTTGCAGCTGGTGTAGAATGTGGCATCCAGAATAATTACTTGGACCTGGAGGTCCAGACACATAAGACCAATTCTGGACTGCCTGTATTGGCTGCCTACTTCCAGTCCTGATTCAAGATACTTGTCTTAACCTTATAAAGTCCTACATGACTTAGGACCAGAATACCTGTTAGAGCACCTCTCCCAGCCCCAGTCTACCTGGACAGTATGCTAATCCTCTGGGCCTTCCTTTGGGTGCCAACCCTTTAGAGGCTGGGATGGTAGTAAATAGGAAGAGGGCCTTTTTGGTCCCCCCGCTCCCCATTTGGTCTGCCTGGCACCAAATTTTCCATCTTTTTGGCACTAGGTAGATTGTAAGGGTAAGAGGGTAAGATAGCCCTCTTTGCCAGATGCCTTTAAAACATCTGTGGTAATTCAGGGGCCTAAGATGATTAGCTAGGTGCTTTTCTTTTAATCTTGGATGGATCTGTCTTGATTGTCTTTTAATGTTCTTTTTTGTTCTTTTAAATTATGTTTTAATTCTTAATGTTTTTATCTACTGTATTTTTATATATTGTACTTTAAGCCACCCTGGGAGCTTTGGCTATGGGAGCTATAGAAATTGTCCTGAAAGTGCCTAGCAAATATGTTACAGGACCTTAGATGGCTGCAAGATGTCCTTTGGGCCAGCATGTAGTAGGCCCTGGACAACCGTATAGAGCTGTGCTGGGTGGCAAAGAGAAGATTGAATGAAAGCAGTCAGGTATTGTTTCTTTGTTGCTCTCACGGCCTTCAAGTATATTTAAGTATAGACATACACTGTAAGGTCTTGATTGTATCCATTAGGAGTTTTCCTCTGCCTGCATTCTAGCCATCTCATTTGTTTCATCACTCAGTTTCAGGATATGAGCTCTACTACAGGGAGTATGCTCAGGAGTTTCCTCGGCCTAGGCCATTTCTGTGTCCCAGAGATCAACCAGGGATCCAGCAGGACAGCCAGCCATATCAACCAGAAGTTCCCTGCAGAGCCCTCTGGAAACTAACTGCAAGAGCATCTTAATGGGTGTTTCACTCCTGCAGAGGGGAGTAGTCACTGTTAGTCTTAATATCAGCAGGCAGTAATTTGACCATGACAAAGGAACACTATCCCCACACCCAACTAGAAAAAAAAAACAAAACAAAAAACAGATCTAGTGTGCCTTGCTGCATGTTGTGGGGCAATCCTATGGATGTCATGGAGTCCATGAAATCCTGAGCCGTCCCAGTTAAGTGCTCTCAGCACAGATGTTAAGATCCCTCAGAACCAACAGTATGGGGGACTTTAACATCACAAATGAGACAACCCCTCTCAACTCAGGTAGGGAGACTATTGGTCACAGGATGGATGGTTCACCAGCAGAATCCCCAATTTCTTCCTCTGGCCCAGATGCAAGCATTCTGGTTGGAGAGGGAGCCTGGAGAGGGATAGAATTCTTATAGATCATAGCAGCACCCCCGTCCTGTCCCTGTAGACTTCCCTGATGCTGTACCAAGTATACTAATGGGCAGACCTAGAAATGACTAATTTCCCTGTGTTCCACCTACCCAGATCTTCATTATGCATGCCTCTGTTGAGACATGGATGAGAAAGACCCTATCTGGTATTTAAAAGCAGCATCTAGAGACCTGAGGGCAGGCTGCTAGGATAATCACCAAACCTGTGGTTGGGAGCAAGACCAGCACACAGCACAATCATTAACTGCCTGTGTCAAATTCCCCTTACTGGCTAGCCTTCCACCCAATGCCATATCTCCCTCTACCTGTCATTACACTGATTGCCCTCCCATCAGGGGCCCCCACTTGGTCCCATCTGCTTCCTTCACTGCAGATACCCAAGGCCTATATGCAGGGGAAAGACTCCCCCCTCAACCCAAGAAAGAACAACAGTGTTAGAGTGGGGGCCCTTGTCCTTGCATCCCCTTCAAGCAGCTCCCTCAGGGGCAACTCATTTTGATGTCATCTCCTTAGGGTCATTGCTGCTGGGGTGGTACCACCCAGCTTTTGGCCAGCAGATATATTTCTGTCTCCCCACCAGGTGTGGGGTGTTGGCCTTGATGGAGTTGTCCTTCTCCGTACACTACACAGTCTCTGAAACAACTCTCAGAAGTACTCCAATCCACCAGCCCCAAAACCAACCCGTGGAGAAAGGCTGACAAGATGAGACTTGTTTAGAGGCCAAAGCAGGTGGGGTTAGTGCTCAGGTCTGCAGTCTTCAGGAAGTCCTTGCTGGTCTTTCTTCTTTAAAGTGATTTTTTTTAATGCTACAATAAAATCTAGCAAGGAGCTGTTGGAATACAGGTCAAATTATTCCCTCTTTTAGTGTGCAAAACTACACAAGGTCACATAGTCTAATTTTGATATTTTTTACAAAAAGAGCATGCATCTCAAGATGCTAGGAAAGATGATTTGTAATAAAGCCCAATGTGTTTTTGCCCTGATACTTGGAGGTGTATTTTTTGGGGGGGTAGTGTAAAACTGCCTCAGAGGAAATTGTCTCCTCAGTTCAGTAACTGGCAGAATCTTTACCAGCATTTTGTGACATTTATTTATTTATTTTTCGATTTATATCCTGCCTTTTTCCTACAAAGGGCTCAAGGCAGCTTACATCATTCTCCTCCTCCATCTTATCCCCACAACAACAACCCTGTGAGGTAGGCTGGGCTGAGAGTCTGTGACTGGCCCAAGGTCACCCAGTTGGCTCCATGGCCGAGCGGGGACTAGAACCCAGATCACCTGAGTCCCAGTCCCATGCTCTTAACCACTGCACCACACTGGCTCTCTTCCAGTGCCTTCCAGTCTGTACTTACTGATTTCTATACTATACTGTACTTTCCCCATCAAAGTAAAACCCTTCCTCTGAAACTTATGGCTCTAAAGGCAAAAAAGATGCTTTTCCTTCATACAGTGTACTATACTGGAAAATCCAGCTTCTATCTGTAATAAAATAAGATGAGAAGATTGTGGTGCTATTGAAAAGAAGGGGATGGACAATGCAAGGGTCTTTTGCTGGCTAGAGAGCCATGGAATTGGAAGAAGCTGTATCCCATGTTAGATATGCGTAGACAGGATGTGTGTTTAAGTTAAAGGGATGTTCAGGGTGCACCACGAAGAAAGGTTTAATTTGGTACACATGTAGCACATGGCACACAAGTACTAGACAAAACTGAAATACGAGACATATTTACATTTGTAATATGAAATTTGCCCCTTTAAAAGGCCAGAAATCCAGCAACCTAGGGCATGCATCTAGAATTTCAGAATAGAAGCTCAATTAATAGAAGCGCCCCGAGGTTTCGGCAAGGGGCGGCATAGAAATGTTATAATAATAATAATAATAATAATAATTATTATTATTATTATTATTATTATTATTATTATTATTATGGTTCTTTCCAGTGTCTGCAAGCCTATTTTCACACAAATATTAGGACTTCCTCTCCTTTCCACAGACACTTCACAATTCTAGTCTGGAGGGTCCCCAAACTTCCCAGAGCTTATTCAGGGCTTGTAAGGGAGGGATTTTTTCTACTAGTATACAGGTGCAGTGGTATACAGTTCCTTCTGTGTGTGTCTAAAATTTGTTTCTGGAGGGTGGGGTGGGAGTCCTAATGATGAGGGAGGGTAGAGATGTGTATCTTCCTTTGATAAAAACCCCCCGTCATTGCAGCAAAGTGCCAAGAAGTTGAACAGCCCTCATCTTCACCTACAGCAGCTGGGGAGGAGGTTGGAGGATGTTTACCACCTTTGTGTTGCTTCAGAATTTTGGTAGCCAAGGAGAAGTGTGCAGGAATAACCCCATAGGTGGTCAGCTTGTGACCTGAGGCTTGGTTGAAGAAGAGGAAGAAATTGGGATAGAACTGTGAATCATGAACCAAGGCTCTTTCCATGAGATATAGTAAGATATGAGAGGGAGTGCCCTAGGAGAATTTTACAAATCATAGAGGTAGTTGGTCTCAGAACATGAAAATTGTCTAAATAAGCAAGAACAGATACTGATTTAAATCAGTGTTTTCCTGCTCAGAATTGATATATTTTTTTCTGGATGGGCATGGGTACTAACTAGGAAAAGGAACAAATAAAACATACTGACTTCTGTTTGGGTTTGCAAAACCCTCAATCCAATGTAGGAGACAAATCAAGGTGACAAAACATTTTGTTGTTTGAATCAATAATGTTTTCTATATGGTGGCTTGTTTAAGGGCAGCAGAGCATTATTCCTTAAAACAAAAGAGTATGTTGATTGCCATAAGTGAATGGCAAATTAATTTTTGTTGCTTTCCTACCTTAACAAGCAGTTTTACACTAAAAAGCAGTCTTAAAATATTTTGAAACAAAAACATTCAGGCTTTAAAAAAAATAGTTTCTGACAAGGGGCTAATAAGGGATTTGTTTGAAAAGGGACATATGCATGTGCATGCAGACCCCCCCCCCCCAATTAAACGATCTCTGAGTCACTCTGTCAGAAACTATGTTTTAAAAGGAAGCCAGGATTTTGACTGCTATCTGATGACTCCATGCTTTCTTTAAAGGGGGTTCCTTAGACTTTTCTACCTTCTTGGGAACTTAGAATCTTGGGAAAGTGTGGAAAAGGACAAGGGCACTGAGAACACACAAGTCTGGCCAAAATGCTTAGAGGATCTTGCTGCAAAGGGAGTAATATAATGGACACCTCCTTGTGCAAGGAAAGCTTATTCATGCTTTGCTTTCCCTTGATAGCTCAGCTTTTGACACTTGTTAAAAGAGAAAAAAGTGAAAAATAGACCTCTTTGTGGCCTTTCTGGGTCAATGACCATGGTGTGGACATTGACAATAGGCATGCCCTAGGAAATTAGGCAGGTAAAGCTGCATAGTGGTTTTAACTTGTGGCCAACCATTGACGGTCCTTCCAGTTTGCTTCTTCGGCTCTTAAAGGAGTTGTCACTGGCTGTCAGTTCAGATACTGCTGTTCATGATGTCCAAGAAGTAGGGTGGGGGGGGTCACAGCAAGCCAAAGTTCTCATCATCATGGTGTGAACAAACAAGTTGACCCTGCCCTGACCTGCCACATCTTTGAGGGGACCATGGGGGAAGTAGGGAGTAACAACTCATGGGTTTTTCAGAGATCACTTGGGTACAGTCAACCTACTGCTGCTTACTGCCAGGGCGGAATGGCATGTGGACCTGCCAATTAGTTTGCAACTTGCTAAAACTGCTATACAATCTCAGAATATAATCCAAAGTGGTTGCTCTTTCAGCATTTCAGTATTACCTGTTTATAGCTGGATCTCAACCTCTTTCTGATGCATTAAAATAATAAACAGGATCTATTCCTTAAATTCTAATGAATGTACACTTATTTTCATGTAAAATACACTGGACAGAGTGGGGACTTACTGGAAGGAAGGAAAGGTGGAAGGATTGCCCTGTAACTATCCAGAACTTTCTAGAAGCAGGAAAACCTTGTTGCAGACATAATCGTGCAGTATACTTGGATTTGCAAATGAAAAGGACAGAGAAATTCTAGTAGGAGAGAAAGGGAAGTTGAATACAAACTCATTGAGAATTTGGAACTCTCTACCACCTAACTAAAGGGAGCATGGTGTCTGCTCTGGTTATATGAATTAGTTCAGAAACTAAGTTTCAAAACTCCTGGATGCTTCTAACTTTTCATAGTCTCAGGTGGATGGATTCAGATGTCACCAATATTCTTTGCTTACCAGCATTATGCAGTATTACATAGTAATACTACATGCATTCACTGTGCAAGCTTAATGGTGCCATCACATCTTCATAAGAACTGGATACTAGGTTTTTAATATGTATCAACATAAAATTTGCTTAAGTGTACAAAACAGACAATAAATTATGCATAGTATGGGAAGGAAGTGGGTACCCTCTGGCTCCACTTCTACTGAAAGTTGTAGGGGAATTTAGCCTCTAAGGATATACAACTTCCAAATCTCAGTGCTATCTTGTTAGGATCTTTTGAGTACAAAGTATACTCCCAGCTTTACTGACGGGGAGAATTGCCATTAGAGGGTGCATATCTACTTGCTTGCATCTTCAGAATACAAATTTGTCCCTTCTAAAGAGAGTACACTTTCATGCTTAAAGGACAATTGAGGTGTGCGTGGGAGACAGTTACTAACTATCAAAGACTTATGTCCCGTAACATGCATCCTTGGAGCCAAACGTACCCATTCCATGATGACACGAGCTTAACATCACCTGCCTCTAAGTCATTGATGGCTAAATTGGTAGTACATATATTATTACCAGCATAGTTTGTCTATCTGATTCCATGCTATCTCCATCCTCATTCTTTCTCTGATAGTCTTCTCTTCTCAGAGTCTGCAGACATCTGTTTTTGCTATTAAATCTTTCTTCTCAAATATTAACACTCATCATTTGGGTTTATCATGTTAATATAAATCATTATATTACAGTAATATAAATCAAAAAAGCAGATAATTAACTCCTTCTGTGTTCTCATCATGTATTACCTTCATCACTTTCTATCTTTTTAGACCCAAGTTCGCTCTTTAACTCCAGCCAGCAAAAGGAAAGCTACTTTTAATTTAGTGTGGTATTTTCCCCCTCCCTCTTGTTTTTCCTTCTTTGTGTTTTGCCATTCCTCATACAGAGCCATATTTCTGAAATAAATATTGTGTCCATTAAATGTGATACAGTCATATGACTTCTACTAATACCTTTTTTGTAATTTCTTATAGAATAATAATAACTTGGATGCCTGTTGTGCAGTTCTCTCTAAAGAGAGCACGAAGTATCTCTACGGTGAAGGAGACATTGGTTTTTCAGATGATCCTGGGATCCCCAGTCTACGAAATCACATGACATCTCTTAATTTGGATTTGCAGTCACAGAATGTGAATCTCCATGGAAGAGAAGGAAGTAGAATGAATGGAAGTAGGACTTTAACTCATAGCATTAGTGATGGACACCTTCAAACCAGCCAGTCCAACAGTGAACTGTTTCATCAGGAACCACAGTCAGCTCCAGTGCAAGTTCCACAGGGATTCTTTGGCATATCTAATGCTGTTAGTACTTCTAATCCAGGACAGCATTTTGGATTTCATTTGGGCAGCAAAGGAGCATCTGGTTTGGCTCAGCAAACACCTAGATTCAACCCTATTATGGTAACTTTAGCTCCAAATATTCAGCCTGGTCGGAATACACCCACATCTTTGCACATACACGGTGTACCTCCATTAAACAATGTCCCAGGCAATTCTATCTATATTAGACCTTATATTACCAATGCAAGTGGTACAGCTCGTCAGAGTCAGCAAAATCCAGGCTGGACGTCTCAGTTTAATCCTATGCATTCTCAGCAAAACTACCAGCCCTCACATCCAAATTCCTGGACAACTGTTCCCACAACCAGTTCCTCACCACATACCTCATCACAACAGTCAACGCAGCCGAACCAGCAAGGCCATCAGACCTCCCATGTCTACATGCCTATAAGTTCTCCTACTACTCCACAACCACCTTCTGTTCATTCATCTGGTAATTCACAATCTTCCTCCACCCAGAGCCAATACAATATTCAAAATATCTCAACAGGACCTCGTAAAAACCAAATTGAAATCAAACTTGAACCACCACAAAGAAACAATTCATCAAAACTGCGTTCAACTGGCTCTCGTTCATCAAATTCCTCTTCCAACAACAGCCAGACTTTGAATAGAAATCAACCTACTGTTTACATAGCAGCTAGTCCCCCAAGTACTGATGAAATAATCACACGAAGCCAACCTAAGGTCTACATTTCAGCCAATGCTTCTACAGGAGATGAGCAGCTTGTACGAAATCAGCCCACACTGTTTATATCAACCAACCCAGGAGTTTCTGCTACATCTAGGAATATGTCTGGTCAAGTAAGCATGGGACCTGCATTTATTCACCACCACCCTCCCAAGAGCAGAACAATGGGCAACAATGCTACTGCCACTTCTCCCCGAGTGGTGGTAACACAGCCTAACACAAAATACACTTTTAAAATTACTGTTTCTCCAAATAAGCCCCCTGCAGTTTCACCAGGTGTGGTGTCCCCAACCTTTGAACCTACAAATCTTCTAAACCTTCCTGATCACTTTGCAGAAACGGAAGGTATCCAACACCTTACTGACCCTGTTTTAGCACATGTCGATAGGATTAGTGAGGCACGAAAACTGAGTATGGGATCTGATGATGCTGCCTATACACAAGGTAATACTTTTATGTAAGTTATAGAAATCTCTTCCTTGTTCTCTTGCTCAATTAATTTTTATTTATTAGGCTACTTATAAACACCTTGCAAATGCATTTTTTTCTCTGTGTGGTGTACAATAAATGATGAATACAAGTAAACAGTTTGATGTAAGAAACCAGTTATTGGATCAAGAGTTTTATTATCATACCACTTCCTGATACTCTGATAAGCCTTCTAAATATTTTTCAGCTGACACATTAAAAATCTTGCTGCCAGAGTCTCCATGGGTAGCAATGACATGTGGAATACTTGGGAATATTAGTGTAACTTAGGCTAGACTAACATTAGTTGATATTAGTTTAATGTTAGTCTAACCTAAGCCCAAAGTATGTCTGCTCTAAGTAGGAATTACATTGGGTACAACCCATTATGTTAAATTAGCTAGTTAGAAGACACTGTCCTGTTCATGATCATGGAATATTGATGGATTCATATCTGTTATTCTGAAAGGAGCTTCTAGATTTTTAATTTTAATCAGAAGACATGTCATAGTGGGGGGATAAATCATTCGCAGGCATGTCTTAATTAAGAGTTTAGTTTTAGTTGAAGCTTACATTTGAAAACTCTTACTTTTAAACTGTATAAATGTCTTACAGTAGTGTGTGTTATGGCTGCTTTTTGCTGTTTTAAATACTATGATCTTTATATCAAAAATCTTAACATGATTTTACTAACAAGTTACTGAACAGAAATTAAAATCAAAGGTTTACTTTAGTTGATGAGGACACAACCTGCCCATACAGTAGCCAAAGTATAAAAGACTCCAGAAATGCGAAAATAAGTAGAAGATTATTATTCTCAACACTCTGGAAATTATTTTGTAGAGGTTGGATTGGAATTTTCAAAGAGGAGAGTAGTGGGATAAAAATCCTAGCATGAAGGATATGTAAAAAAGGGTGGGAAGGATGGAGAGAATCTTACATTTATGTATAAATACTTTATATGCTGAGAACATGACAATGTTTTGTAACTGTCAGAATAGTCACTGGTAGTTGATTTATCTGCCTTCCAATGCACTAAGATCTCAAATGATAATGAAATTGTCATTCCTTTTGATTATCTGAGCAACTCCCAAACCTGTGTTCTGTCTGTTCAGGCGACCTTACTCCCAAAGTAAGTCTGCACAAGATTGCAGACTAAATCTTAAAAGTCTGAAAATAGTAAATACTTGTTTTTAATATCCTGATCATATAAATGCATGAAATAACCATACAAAGTATCAGTTAAGATCTTTAACACTTAGGATCTAACTCTGGTGCTGTTTGCAGAATGTATTGGTTTAAAAGCCAGTGGGTTAAAAGCCAAAGGGCTGTTATTATTTATTTATTTAAAACATTTCTGAACCATCTAATATTGTAATGAAATTTCAAGATGGTTTACAAAAACAATAACGATAACAAACATAATCACTTCAATAAAACAACAGCACACAATGTATGATATATATAATAAAACCATTCAGATGCAGAAAGCAGGTGAATATCTTGGTGTATCGTTAACTTTTTTAACTGGTAAGTTCATTTCACACCTACTACAGTGATCTGAAACTATTCTTTTTTTTAAGGTAATCTCTGTTCTGATGAATATCCTTTTTTCATTTTCAAAGAAAGTTTTCAGACCATTTTCAAAGGTTGCTCCATTGCAGTAATCCAAATGAGATGTTACTAGCGCATAGATAACTGTAACTGGGCTATTTATGTTTCGAGAAAGATATAGTTGGTGTATCATTCTAAGTGGTAAAAGAGAGTCCAGTATATCAAGCTCATCTGTGCCACTAGTAACCTGATTTCAGAGAAGAGCAGTCCCATCTACAATGGGTTGAATATCACTTACCTGGTAAAATACTACCACTAACGGACCCACTGCCTTGTCTGGACTGAGTCTCACTTAATTGACTCTCATCCAGATCATTACAACACTGAGGCACTGGTTCAAAACACCCACTGCCCACGTTGGTTTGATGAAAATGAAGGATAGAGCCAAATATTCACAGATAGTTGACATTTGAGCTTGTATCTTGAGATAGCGTCTTCCAGTGGTTTTGTATGGCTGTGAAACAGCGTCATGGATAAAATAGGTATCTGTGGCATCCCATGACATAACTACTGAGGAATGGATCAATAATAATCCCAAGCACCAACTTCCAAAATCAGCCATCCAGGTAGGAGTGAAATCATTGCAATGACATGCCTCCAACTCCCAGCTCAGATAGCTTATTTAGAAGAGATGCCCTGGTTGAAGGTATTGAAAGCCGAGGAGAGGTCACAAAGAATCAACAGGGTCAGAGTCCCCACTCCTTTCCTGACAAAGGTCATTCCATGAGATGACCAAGCTAGTTTACATTCCAAAACCAGACCTGAAAACCAGTTAGAATTGATCTAGATATTCATTTTCATTCAAGAATGCCTGGAGTTGGCTGACAACCACCAGCTCAAGCACCTAGCCCATTAAGGAGAAATTAGCAACTGTCCTATATTTGTCAATGGCTTTTGGGTCTACTTTAGGCTTTTTAATGGCTGAAGAACTGCCATCTTTAATGTGACTGGCACCAGTGCAAGGAAGAGTTGATTACCTATAGTGTCCAGGTTTGGATGTTCATATAGCAACTCTAACTTAGCCTGATCAGGGGTTGATATTAAAAAAAGACTGCAGAATGTACAGCGTAGCATCATGGTAAATCATCATGAATGTAAATTATCCATGGTTTGCCACAGTTATGTGTGAATAGTCCCAATGTTTCTAAGCATTTATGTCTAACGTTAAAAGTATAAATATTTGTACAAAATATCTAAAGCATTCACTATCATTTTTTAAAAAAATATAGGTCAGTTTATGCATTAGTTATAAAGAGCCATTTGTGAAAGCTTTGAAATCCATTAGAATACCTTTTTAAACTATAGCACAATTATAGTTTTATGAGAATACATATCCAAATAATAACACAAATATAATGCAACAGAGAGCTAACAAAAACAAGAATACTTAATACATTAAAAGACTTTGAGAGCCATCACAAAATTGTTTGGCATCTAATACTAGTCACTGAAATACAATTGTAATAATATTTATTAGCCTGATTCCTGTTAACATAAAGAGAGTCAAGTTTGACAGGATTTTCACTATATCCCTTTCTAATAGTTAAATATTAAGGAAATTCACTTCTGTGTAAAGAAGAGTATAATTAAGAGAAGCAGCTTTGGCTATTAGATGGTAGAGAAATTAAATAAATACAGCACAATAAATAGTGGTTCAGGTCTAGCTGCTTTTCCTCTGGCAGAATTCTGCTCAGAATGTTCCTGCCCCAAGAAAGGAATGGACATAATCTTCACTGCCTTCCACTTCTCTTTTCAGCCTCCAGTGCACTGTCCTCCACTGTTCCAGACAGAGCCTGAACCTCCAGAGCAGTTTTAAGGGGGCATAGGGGACTGCAGGAGAAGGGAGAATGAGCAAAGTTCATTTCTTTCCATCAGTGGGATTCCTCTGCTGGATCAGAATCCTCTCATGGATGGAAGGCCTCCTTCTATCCACAGGAAGTAGTTTCTGGATTCAGTCCAGCCCTCTATGTTATAAGGTGTTTATTATTAAAACGTCTAATAAAACTTCAGTATTTTTAATTTAAAAATAGAACTAGATTAAGTGGCAATCTCTAACTGTCTTTGAGGTTTTCATATCTAGTATACAAAATAATTGCTTCTATTGGTATAATATATGCATTACAGCCATTTTGTGATTTTACTGTTTATCTAGATAAGGAAGCAGATTTGAGAACTGCTGGTTGTAGAGTGCTGCTAAGATTGTCTAAATTTCTCTATGACTAGAATTTCCATTATGGTAGCATAGATCTATGTCCTTCACTTGTCCTGTCACATGTTTGATTATTTTTATACTTAGGAATCAAACTGACTGACCATTACTTAATTGCACTTTCTTTTATAAACACAGTGACACAAGGTAAGGTCATTAATCTTCTAATTTCATAGTGGTTTAAAAGGCTAAGAAAGCTCCCTGCTCAGGTTTATAACTAATATGCATTTTAAAATCAGTGTAATCTAAAGTTTTCTTATACCATGCTAGCAAGACACATAGCATCTAATTAGCATCCTTATTTAGAATATTAAGTAGTTTCCGAAACTTTAGCAGCAATAGCTAAATTGGTACCCACCTCTGTGTTTTGGACTACAATTCTTGGAATTCCTGGTGATTGACCATAAGAGTTGTCCTCCAGATATTTTGAGCATTAGCTGGCCTAGCCCTGATGTAACAGCAGTTGTTGTTGTTAGTTGCGAAGTCACGTCCGACCCATCACGACCCCACGGACAACATTCCTCCAAGCATTCTTGTACTCCACCATCTCCCGGAGTCCAGTTAAGCTCACATTGACTGCTTCAGTGACTCCATCTAACCACCTCATAACAGCAGTAGCCTAATACAGTGGTACCTCGGCTCACAAACGCTTCAGTTCATGACCAAATAGGGTCGTGAACAAAAATTTCATAAAAATTTTGACTCAGGTTGTGAACTCTGCATTGGGCAGCGACTGTGATCATGGCCATCTCCCCCCCGCAGAGTGGGGAGATGGCCACAATCATGCTGGGGGCAGGGGGGAGATGACTGAGATCATGCCCATCTTTCCTGCACGAGCGTGCCCATGATTGCGCCCATCTTTCCTGCAGGAGCCCAACCGCAATCTTGGCCATCTCCCTGCCCAGCACGATCACACACATCTCCCCCCTGAGCGCGCCCGCCTTTATGCCCGTCTTTCCCCCAGCGCTCTTGTGTTCACGCCCATCTCCCCCGCTCCCAGCACACTGGGATAACAGGCGTGTGCAGGGATGATGGGCGCAATCGCGGTCGTGCTGAGGGGCGGGGAGATGGCCGCGCTCGGGGAAGGGGAGATGGCCGCAATCTTTGTTGTTATTTGTCACTTTGCTTCACATTTTTCTGATTTAAAAAAATA